AAGAAAAAAAAAAAAAAAAAAAAAAAGAAAAGAAAAGAAAAGAAAAGAAAAGAAATGCATGTATACCAAAAAAAGCACAACTCATAAGTAAATGGCTTCGTAAGTTATTTAGACCCCTTATAACCATCACTCCTATCAAGAAACAGAACATTTACAACACTCAGAATCCTCAGTTGTGCCTTCTTCCACTGCCTGTACCTCATTTCTTAGTTCACTCAGCCTACTATAACAAAATACCTTCGACTGGGTCATTTAAAAACAATAGAAATTTATTGCTCACAATTCTGGAAGCTGGGAAGTTCAAGATCAAGGTGCCAGCACATTTGGTATCAGGTGAGGGCTGCTCTCTGCTTCATAACTGTGTCTTCACATAGCAGGAGGGGGCAAGGGAGTTTGCCAGAGCCTTTTTTGTGAGGACACTAATTCCATTCATGAGGATGGAGCCCTCAAGACTTAATCACTTCCCAAAGACCCACCTCTTAATACTATCACATTGGGTATTAGGTTCCAATAAAGAATTTTGGGGGGATTATCACTATTCAGACCGTACCACTTTGCTTCCAAAGTTACTTTCTCCTGACTTCTAACCACATAAATCAGCTTTGCCCATTTTTGAACTTTTTATATGTGCATATGTAAGCATTTTTTAGTGTGTGTAGCTTATTTTCTCCCTGTGAGATTCATTCATGCTGTAGGTAGCAGTAGTTTTTTTTTTCATTTCAGTATATTATTATAATGATGAAATAGATCACTATGCAATAACTTCACAAAGTTCATGGAAATTTTTATTTTATTTACTTATTTATATATTTATTTATTTTCCTTTTTTTGTCTTTTTTTTACTGACCGGTAACGGGATCGCACCCCTCGGTGTCGCGCCCGTACCGGGGACCGGCGATGGGATCGCAACCCTCGGTGTTGCGTCCGCACCGCACTCAGCCAGTGAGCGGGAGCTGTTCTCCACATGGGATCCGAACCCTCGGCGGGAGCGCCACCACGCTCCCAAACGGTGCACTCTCCAGTGCACCACCGGGCCGGCCCGATTTTATTATTTTTTAATTCCATTTTT